TCTCCATCCGGGGCTCCTCTTCCACCGTCTCTGTCTCCATCTCCACTATGGCTCCTCCCACCATCGACTCCACCGTGGGCCGCTATCCTGGTTGGCCTGTGGTTCCCCACCTGGCTCCTCCTGCTCCGGGCTCCTCCCTCCATCTACTCCGCCCTGGCCCTATGAACTATGCCCCTTTCCCATTGCCTGCCCCATGCCCACCTCCTCAACCCCCACCCTCCCTCCTCTGTTTGACTGCTTTTGTCGGTGTGAGGTCGCGCCATTCCGGGAGGGGCGAAATGTCACGTTTCTGTTCTGTTGTGTTGTGTTTTGGTTTCTCTGCTTTCCAGTTTCTTTGCTGATGAGTTTGTGTTGACTCATAGAGTGTTTTTTCCCCATGCTGTTCGGCACGAGAAAGTTGTGTATGCTGCAGTGCAGGGAAAAGATGTTGCTAATGCTGTCAGAGCTGTACACGAGGGAGCACAGGGAGGCTTCCGCCAGTTTGTGCGGCACAAAAAAAGAGTGTGTTTTACTGTCTTGATTCGGGTCATCTCATTGCGGATTGTGAAGCATGGAAAAAGAAAAACACAGTTAAACCTAAAAGTGTTGCTTTTGTAAAATCTGTCTCAATCGACTGAATCGTCTAAGTCGTCAATATATGAACCTTTCTGTTACCGGGATCAGTAGCGTTGTCTGATGGTTCGGGTTTTAAGCCAATAACTCTGCTCCGTGATACAGGATCCGCTCAGATACTTATGTTGAATACAGTGCTGCCGCTGTCTAACCCCTTCGGACCCTGCGTCCATTACAATGGACATCACATGTCACCTCATGTTTTTTTTGCTTCCGGAGCATTTCACCTAATTTAAAGCCTGCTGTCCATGAAACTGGACGTTTGTCATCCAATCAAACGGCAGTAAGGCTCTGCCTGTTGTAATTTGAAAAAAATCCACTACGCTGAAGAGAAGCATGGCAGCACTTCGTTCCAAACCAAGAAGTAAGCAACATTTTCAATGGTAACATATCTCAGAAAGAAAGTGGGGCATGGACAATTCGCCTGGTAGATGCTAAGGTTGCCGCCATCCTTCAATACCCTGCACCTAAGGTTTTTGATAAAGGTTTTGTCGTGTGTCCACTTACTGACTTAAGTTCTTCTAAAACCTTTATCTGGTCTCCGTCATGAAAATGTTTTTAAAGAGGTGGAAGATTTGTTGTGTTTTTCTTCTGCTCTCGCCTGCCCTGAATTCTCTCGCCCTTCTAAACTTGAGGTAGATGCCAGTGCTGTGGGAGCCGTAGCAGTGCTGTTACAGTAGAATGACCGTGGAATTGACCACCCCCAGTTTTACTTCTCCAGGAAGTTTTTAAAAGCTCAACAAAACTATAGCACTATTGAAAAAGAAACTCTTGCCTTAGTTTTAGCACTTCAACAATTTGTACTGCTTCTGCGCAATACAAGGGGGGCTCTGAGTGTGTTTTCTGCCGGGAGGACATGTTTGTGTAAGCGTTCCTCCGGCCTGTTGTAAAGTTGATTATAAGTGAAGTAGCCTGTTGCATGCTTAAAAGGGTCATATGAAGCGATTTCAAGTTTTCCTTTCTCTTTGGAGTGTTACAAGCTGTTCGTGAATAGATAAGATCCCTGAAGTTGCAAAGACTAAAGTCTCAAACCCAAAGAGATATTCTTTATAAAAGTTAAGACTCGTCCGCGCCCTCCTAAAACGCCTCGTTTAAACACGCCCCCAACATGTCTATGTCACTGTTTGGGAAGATTTGCATAACACCGCCCAAACGTATACGCAAAGAAAGAAGGCATAGCTTTTATTCTCGCTGTAGTATTGTTGTTGCCGCCGTCGCCATGTCGTGTGTGACGCTGTGTTTCGTTGTGAAAGCGAAACTACTTTGTTTGGTCTTCCAAAAGAGGACACCAGACAGGGTTTTATGTTTACGCGGCGCGATGCATCGCAACGCATAAAAAGACAGTATAAGTCATTATAATCCATAATTATGTCCCCACTGGATGCAACAAATGCCTCGTTTATAATGGGTTTTAATGTTTTTGAATCATCGCTCCGGCCGGACACGGCATCAACAGTATGTGAGGGGCGTAACATTTCCGTCACACGCTTGAGGTATTCGGCCAATCACAACGCACTGGATAGCTGGCCAATCAGAGCACAACGTTTTCAGACCGATGAGCTTTGTAAAAATTGACACGTTTCAGAAAGGTGGGGCATAGAGGAGAAACAATGTACATTATGTGGAAAATAATGTGTTTTTTTACTTTAAACCGCATACACACATTTCATTACACCAAATACACAAAATAATGTTCTTTTTAGCAGCATCATATGACCCCTCAGTTAGTCGTTCCAACTGCTTTTCCCACCATCTTTTTCTTTGGCTATTGTTGCTAATATTTTTTCTTTAAAATTTTGTTGGTATTAAAAAGTAATCTGTAAACAGGAAAGACATCACTATCCTGTAGGAGTTTGTTTTTCTTATGTTTAATATTGTGTCGGTGTTAAAAGGTAATCTGTAAATAGAGTAACGCCACTTTTGTAGGAAATGGGTGCCTACTTTCTTTTTATTGAAAAAAGTGTATTTTCTCCTGGTTTTAATCAGATAGGGAGATAGGGATGCATTTTTGTTTTATTTTTTCTTTGTTAGGGTAAGGTAGCATTTAAAAGAACAGTTTTTGTTTTGTTTGTTATTTTGGCTCATGCCCATTTCTGAAGCTGGCATAAAACCCTGATTGATTGCTCCTACAATAAATGGAAATCTAGGCTTTCCTTTTGTGACGTTCTTCATTAATGGTACTTCACGTTGCTCCTAGACTGGGACGTAACTTGTTTTTTATTTTCTGACATGTTGGTGTTCTATCTTTCACTTGGATGTTAGAAGTTGCACTGAGTAAATACAGCTGGATAAAACAAAAACTGTGTCCGTTTTAATTTCAGGCTGAAAAGCAACAAAATGTGATTATTTTAAAGGGGAGTGATTTTTTTCTACACCCACTGTAATTTGCTGTATTATTAGGTATGTACTGTATAAGTTATGTAATGCATATAAGACTAGACCTAAACCATAAAATCACGTTTCACATAATTTGTAACAAGTAAGGAAGAGCTACAAATGATATGCAACATGTTTAGGGAATGGAGAAAGCTTCGTAAATAAATAAAGGGGTCATGAAATTATTATTATTTTTTTAATTTTATAATATTTCCTGGGGTGCGCTTATAATCTTAGTGTGTTTCTTTCATCAAAAATGGTTCCAATTTAGATATAAGCGGTCATTTTCTACCCTGATTTTAGAAGACCAAACTAAAGCAGCTGCACTGTTGCTATTAAAGCAATATATCAGTCATACTCTATGCACTGAGATCGAAGTGTTGTGTTGTATCGTTATATTTGACATCTGAAACAAGGTAAGCTTGTTTTGAGTGCCATTCAGACTGAATAGCAGAACAAGTTATTTGGTGGTGGTTGGTGTGTGACGTGACTAACAGCTGACATCATTTGTATGCAATACACTTTCATCAAGATAGTAGACTACATTGAATCAGAATCTTATTCAGAGCAGACACTCAATACATAATTTCCCCAGATTTCCAGTTTTGTTGTTCAGTACAATTTCCATTATGTATCCAGTCATAATGGAATAGTTAATAAAACACCTACAGTAGCCTATATAAAAATGAACACATAAAGGTACGTAGTGCATGTTCTCACTAAATTGCTCCCAAATATAAGATTGTTGCCTATAGTATGTCATTCACATATAGGCCCCCCTTTAGACAGTATAAATAATTTACACGTATGTACAGCGTAGGTACGCTACTAATACAAACATGTACGCTGTTCATTTGGTTAACCTACGCTGTAAATGGCGGGCTGCATGCTAAAGTGATACCTTTCACCTCTTCAGGAGCATTTTTAGAGTTTTAATCACAAGCTTTTTTTACTTCATATACGAGATAATATTTCCAGATTAACTTAAATCCACTGAAATTCTGTAAAATACACCACACGACTGTTTTTACATGATACCTCCTTTATTTTGAGTACATTTCCTAATACAGCATCTTTCAACAAATAAAATAATTTCATTTTATGCAAGGCATCAGCGCTTTCATGAGGCAAAATAACCGATGCGACACTCTTTTAGGTGACTTATGTCATATCCCTGTATGTTGTGTTGCATAAAATAAAGTGATTTACAGATCAGTAATGACTTTATAGATAAAATAGAACTTGTACAAACCTTTATTTCGCTGAAGAAATGCACCAGTTTGGTGGCTATGAGAACGGTTGCTCACTCCTGAAGAGGATGCAAGTGAGATTGACCCAGCCGTTGGGTAAAAACTACCCAACAAATACTATTCGACAGTAAAAAATGTTGGGTTGGGTCAATTTTGGGTTCATGTTTCAGTGTACTGAATGATTACTTTGACTTCTTATTTCTCTAATTTTCAGTGTTGTTACTTTGATAATTAGACTGACAGATAAGTTTGCTCACGATGCAGTTGTGCATTTCTGCATGCTGCAACACAACCCTTCCGAAAATTAACCATGGATTTATTATAGTAAGTTTTGTAACCACGCTTTTTGGAAGATCGATTGTCATTTGTATAACCACAGTTGTTATCCCAGCATTTTTGTGTATGAATGGACATTGCAATTATTGATTAATTATTACACTTAGCGTAGATTTTTGTTCTTATGCTCTGCTTTCAGTTTTCTTTGCCACATTTATGATGTTTCATTGCCCTGCTTTGTAACGTATGTTTTGTAAAGTGTGAATGATTATTCTGCTGATAACATTGTTTAGTTAGTTTGACTTTTTGTTATTATATGTAACATTGAAAGTAGTATAAGTAGAGTTCTACAGTGGATAATACACCATAGTTACAGAACTGGTCCTAGTTATCTGTTCTGGTGTTAAAAAATGATTGCACCTCAATTGTCTCCCTTTAGAAAACAGTGTCTACGAAATGATGTAAACTAGTAAAAGCTCAACAGACCTGAAGCTGGAGACTGGAGACTGGAGAGAAAGTCTGCTTGATGTCAGGCTGTTTGTGATGTTGGTTGATGAATCTCAGAAGAAGGCTCTGATCTCTGAGCTCTGCAGCACAGGACCAGTGATTTTATAGGAAACCCATTGGCCACACCTCTCAACACCTGGATTACTCTTCATTTTTGGGTTGGCGGAGAAAAGGAGCTTCATTATCAAAAATAAAATATGAAGAACAGCAACAGTTATGGGTTATTTGCTTAATTCCTGGCTAACACATGGCATTGCTATGGCCTGCTTGTGGCCCAGATCGGACAAACAGGAGCAAAGCGCACAAGTGCCATCATTCCACTCAGTTTGTGGGCCAGATCTTGGCCACCACTGTTTTTACACAGAGTAAATAGAATCTATCACTAGTGTAAATAGCATATAGCAAGGAAAATACTGCTATTTTCATTTAGTGTAAATAGCACCTATTGTGAGGAACCTATAAGTGAATAAAGATGAAATAATTATCTAAAGCTGTTCTGCCAGTTAGCAAACTATCCTTAAATAACTGATTTCCAAACAGACTATTTTTTTTTAATAATAAATATTTTAATAATATTGAAGTATAATATTGAAGCACCACCAACAGCTCAATTCACATTTATTTGAATAACTTCGGAACCGTATCGCCTAGAAACAAAATTCATTTACCTTCTGATTCCTTGGCTCAAGAAAATTTAAATGCAGTTACATCATTTGTGATGACATTTTTTTTTAATTATTGAAGACCGTTCATGAAAACCGAATCAGGTAGTCTTCAGACCATGCCGAAAGAGAGAGTTATAAAACTCAAGTTGATTAGTCAAACCGTTCTCGATTAACATGCAATCGAATTTGATAAAGAGCACGCCAAAGTAGACGTTGAGGCTATTATCTCTGTAACGTTTTAGCGTATTGAGATGGTTTGTCCAAAAAGCACAAGACTTTCGATCTTTCGATTCAGTGCAACATACAGAGTTGAATATTAAAGGCTCATTATGGTATCTATTTAATTACATTTATATAAATGCACGATTAATCGACTAATGGCTAAAATGAACGACTGCTAGTCAACTAGTAAAATCTTTAGTCGTGGGCAGCTCTAGTGATATTTACATTTTTTACGTGACACAAATGACCGTGGCCTAATGGTTGGAGAGTCGGACTTGTAACCCAAAGGTCGTGGGTTCGAGTCTCAGCACTGGCAGGGATTGTAGGTGGGGGGAGTGAATGACCCTCAATACCACGACTGAGGTGAGACCCTTGAGCAAGAACCAAACCCCCAACTCCAAAAATGGCTGCCCACTGCTCCAGGTGTGTGTGTTCACTTGGATGGGTGAAATGCAGAGCACAAATTCTGAGTATGGGTTACCATACTTGGCTACGTGTCACATCACTATCACTTTCATATCACCAATACATGACTCCAAGTTCTCGGATAGCAACACTAGTGTATTTCAGTCAACTCCTAATTCAAAAAGAGTGTTTGAGAAGTGATAACTGAATGTTCAGAGAATGCAAATTCAAAGATGTGCGTAGTCCAAGTATACGACCATAGGCAGCCTCAAACAATGAACACACTCTCTTACACGCTCACATCCTCTGCTTATCCCCAACTGCCAGATGTAGCTGTAGATATACCTCCATTTGACCTGAAATGTTGAATGTAAAAAGATGTACAGTACTTAACCCTGCAACCTTACAGTCGAAGATAGAATTTTTGTTTCTCAATAACTAAAATTTGTTCTCCTATTCCAGACCTGAAAGACCTCTTGCATGTACAGATGCACAAAGCGAGTCTTGGTCTGGTATCTTGCGTCTAGTCATAGCCAATACAGCATCATCTTTTATAACAAGATTTTGACCAAATGTATTAAATGAAAGGAAAAACAATGCTTTAAAGAAAAAGTATTTCTTCAGAATATTTAAAAATGTGTGCTGCATGGTTAAAAAAAATATGCGAGGCTACTCATATAAAATTGCATTTTGAGACAAAAAAGATAAGTCGCATAGTCTGTACGTCACATTTTATTATTACATTCAGAAATAATGTAGGCTAAAATACCGCTAAATAAAGCAAAATGTTTACAAACATTATAAACACAGCTATAAGCTATTTTAGTTCTCCTCTCTCCTCAACAAATGCTCTAAAGTTAACAGTATTTAGGCTATATAGACGTCAAGCCAAAACTAATTCATTTAAAGCGAAACTGAGGCCTACCTCTCTCATTCGGCACGAATCCAAATGTTTCGATATTCGCGACGTATCTGCATGCTAAAATATTAATTATTATGTAAACTATAGGCTATGTACATCACTCATGTTATCAATGTAAAACATCATCCTTCACATAGCACAGTCCCAGCTAGCACACATATGTCTGTTAAAGATCTCTTCATCTGGAAAGCATCCGCTGTGTACAAACATCTGATAGACGTCTTGCAGACATCAGTTTTACGTAGCCTATATTCTAAATCATAAACATCTTAAAGACATCTTCTAAACGTCTATTTGACATCTGATCAGAAACGTCTTCTAGATGTATTGCAGATGAGCAAACACTCTAAAAATACGTCTTGCAGATGTAAATAGAGTCTCCATGATGGATGTGTGCTATCAGGGGTGAGGCGGCGGCCACGAAGAACGGCACAGATTGAACTACGGACTATTTAAATTAAGCGGTGTATCTTTTAATATGACTAATAATTCTTTAACTATCATTTATTTTGATAATGAACAGGCTGCAATGTTAAGTTAGCAAAAATATGTTGTGTGTGTGTGCGAGGTGCTGGCGCGATCATTACATTGTTTTCCCTTCTAAGAGAGGAAACTCATACTCCGTAATTTATGGTCACAGATGGAAGCAAGACATCATTCAAAACTGTAAAGCTTTTGCAAAATACAGAAAACAAGCAGGATGCTGCTTTCTGCCATCTTGGTTTCCTTTCCGTGAACTTTGGAGCACGTTACAATGAACCAAAACTGTTTTGTTTTCATTTCGTTAAGTGAAATATATTTTGTATATAGGCCTATATATTCCTTTTTATGTATATAGTTTAATTTAGTTTAGTTTATCCTGCAATATTTGCTGGTTTCAAAACCCAAAACAAGCTGCTTATCTCCTGCCATTCATTTTCAATGTTAATTGTTGGTCTAATGCTTGACGGTTCGTGACATATCCTCGGAAAAACTCTAACGCCGGAACATTGCTATTGCGACTTACCTATTACAGCTGAGCGCGGGCATTTCAGTCTTTGGATGCGTCAATATCACATTTGTATAGGCCGTACTATTTGAATTTGTGATTGGTTGACTGCAAAATTAAAATACTAAACAGAACGATAACATAACTTTATTAACCGGTTAATGGCCATTTCTTGGTATATTAGTGTTTCTGTTCGGAACTATTAAATTTGATTTCATTTCTGTTTCTGGTTATGTTCCTTTTAAAATTTCGTTCATTTCCGGTTCAGAGCCCTGACCAGGACCACTGTGTTTCTGCTTTAGGTCAAGTCAAGTCACCTTTATTTGTATAGTGCTTTATATAATACTGGTTCGGTTGTGTCAAAGCAGCTTTAGAATGTCAAACAGGAAAATAGTTTGTCAATGATGCAAGAAGACAATAACAGAGTCATTTCTCCAGATTAAGTCTCTCTTCCAATAGTGTCTGTTCAATCAGTCAAGAGAAACCAGGCTCAGTCGGGGGCCCAGATCTCCTCTGACCAGACGAAACCAGCATGGTGTGGTTTAATTCCAGGCTGCAACACATGTCAGATTGAGCAGAGGACTCGTCTGGATCTCGTGGTCTTGTGTCGAAGGTCGACGAGGTGATGAGTTCTTCACTGGGGATCTAGTCGTCCTGGTTTCCGCTGACATTCAGGGCTGTAGAGGTCGTCTCTAGGTGCTGATCCACCATCTGGGCTGGATACAGACTGGATCCGTATCTTGCAACACGACTTCACTGTAAGATTCATCTTCAGTTGTCTCTTCCTTGCTATTTTCTTGATCAGTAATATGATCAAGAACCTCTTGTAAAGACAGCTTCTTCGCCATTGTGCTGACACAGACTGAATGACAAGCAAGGTGCTGTGAGGGATTTATATGCTCTGTCTTTGTGCTAAAGCAGTTATTAGTAAACTTATGTCTGCTTTGTGAGAACCTAATATTTTGTCTAGAAGGTGTGATGAAAGAAAGATTATTTTGAAGCAGAGTGAAGCCAGTTCGTGTGTTACAGACTGGATCCGTATCTTGCAACACGACTTCACTGTAAGATTCATCTTCAGTTGTCTCTTCCTTGCTATTTTCTTGATCAGTAATATGATCAAGAACCTCTTGTAAAGACAGCTTCTTCGCCATTGTGCTGACACAGACTGAATGACAAGCAAGGTGCTGTGAGGGATTTATATGCTCTGTCTTTGTGCTAAAGCAGTTATTAGTAAACTTATGTCTGCTTTGTGAGAACCTAATATTTTGTCTAGAAGGTGTGATGAAAGAAAGATTATTTTGAAGCAGAGTGAAGCCAGTTCGTGTGTGTGTGTGTGTGTGTGTGTGTGTGTGTGTGTGGGTGAGAGAGAGAGAAAGAGAGAGTTATACTATCAGATTGATGAAATTATATCAGATGCAGTTCAGGGTAGGATGAAATAGAAAGCTTGTAATACTCCCCAATAGTTTGTATACGTGTGTGTGTGTGTGTGTGTGTGTGTGTGTTAGCGTGAGTATGCATGCATCCACACATGAACAGGTCCAAGGCCTTTATGTTTGCAAGCACACATACATATGTGAACGTGAACATGATCAACATGCTCCTGAACACTAATAGTTTCTATTACTTTAATTCTTTCCCATTCACTTTGAATGGCTGGACATTTTTGACCGGGAACACCACAAGTGTGACTTTGTGCCATTTTGTACAAAATAAAAGCATTTCAAAGCAAACTCCCTGATTAAACATTAAAGTACACTGGTGTGATAAACAGTGCAAATGTTCATCAGTTTTTATTTAATATTGTGAAAGTTATTCATAAATAATGCTTTTTTCACAAAAAAAATGAGGTGTCTACGCTCAGATAAATGAGGCCTACGATTAAT